TAGTGGAGTCATAGTCAGAGTCATACAGCATGGAAACAGACCCTTTGGTCCAAATAGTCCATGTTGACCAAGTTTCCCAAACTACGCTAGTCCCACTTGCCTGCACTTGGCCGATATCCCTCCAAATCTTTCCTATTCATGTACCTATCCAAAAATCTTTTAAATGTTGTAACTGTACTTGCATCCACCACTTCCTCAGGCAGTTCATTCCACACATTCTGTGTTAAAAAAGTTGCTTCTCAAGTCCCTTTTAAATCTTCTCCTCTCATCTTAAACATATGCCTCCTAGTTTTGAACTCACCCAGCCCAAAGAAGAGACCTTTGCTCCTCATGATTTATAAACATCTATAAGATCAACTCTCATCCTCCTCCGCTCCAGTGAAAACAGTCCCAACCTATCGCTATAACTCAAACCCACCAGTCCTGGCAACATCCTGGTAAATCTTTTCTGAATCCTTTCCAATTTAATAATATTCCTCGTATAGCAGGGCAACCAGACTTTTACAGAGTACTCCAAAAGTAGCATCACCGACGTCCTGTATAACCTCATCAACTTCTATACTCAATGGTCCCATACAACCTCAACAACTCCTATAATCAACTCCTATTCTTAATGGTCTGAGCAATGAAGGCAAGTATGCTAAATGGTGTCTTAATCACCCTGTCTACCTGTGATGCACCTTTCAAAGAACTATGTACCTGAACCCCTAGATCTGTCTGTTTGACAACACTACCCAGGGCTCTACCATTAACTTGTTTGACTTACCAAAATGTAATACCTTGCATTTATCCAAAGTACACTCCAACTGCCACACCTCAGCCCATTGACCCAATTGATCAAGATCCCTTTGTAATCTTAGATAACCTTCCTCACTCTCCACTATCACACCAATTTTGTATCCAATTGGCAATCTCTCTTTAAATCCCATGTGGCCTAACTTTATTAATTAGCCTACCATGTGGAACCTTGTCAAAGGCTTTACTAAAATCCACATAGACAATGTCTACCACTCTGCCCTCATCAATCTTTGTGGTTACATTCTCAAAAACGCAATCAAGTTTGTGAGTCAAGAATTCCCATGCACAAAGCCGTGCTATTCCCTAACCAGTCCTTGTCTCTTTAAATGCTTGTAAATCCTGTGTCTCAGAATCGCCTACAACTGATGTCCATTATTGATGTCAAACTCACAGGTCTACAGTTCCCGGGCTTTTCCTAACAGCCTTTCTTAAATAAAGACGCATCATTATGCACTCCCCAGTCTTCAAGCTCCTCACCTGTGGCTGTAGATGAAAGAAATATTTATGCTAGGGACCTTATAATTTCTTCCCTAACTTTCCACAACATCCTGGGGTAGACTTGATCAGTCCTGGAGCTTTATCCACCTTTGTGTGTTTTAGGACCTGAAACACTTCATCTCCTGTAATATGGACTGTTTTCAAGACATCAATATTTATTTTTCTGAGTTCCCTAGCCTCCATTTCTTTTTCCACAGTAAAGAAAACTGACGCAAAATATTCATTTAATATCTCTTCCACCTCCTGTGGTGGGAGATGACCTTGTTGATATTTAAAGGGACCTATTCTCTTCCGAGTTGCTCTTTGTTCTTAATGTACTTGTCTTTGGATTAGTCTTAACCTTATCTGCCAAGGCTATCTCATATCCCCTTTTTGCCCTCTTGATTTCCGTCTTAAGAATACCCCTATACCCTTTAAACTCTTCAAGGGATTCACTTGATTCCAATTGTCTATACCTAATATATGACCAGAGCCTCAATATTGTTATTCATCCATTGGTCCCAGCCTTACCCTTCATTCTAACTGGAACATTATGCCTCTAAACTCTCGTTATGTCACCTTTGAAAGCCTTCCACTTGCCAGTCATCCCTTTACCTGTAAACAGTCTACTCCTTTCAACTCTTGAAAATTCCTGTGTCATACCATCATAATTTGCCTCACTCCAATTAAGAACTTTAACATTTATACAAGGCCCAGCCTTTTCCATAACTGTTTTAAAACTAATAAAGTTATGTCAAAACATTGGGGTGATGATGCACTTCAGCCCTTGCGGTCAATTCTTCTTCCCATCTGATAGCTAGTCATTATTAATCAAAATGTTCAGATACATAATGACACACTTTCAAGGCAAGTGGATCTTGAACCGGGGACCTTGTGTGGCCTAGAGGAAGGTCACTACTGCTGAGTCTAAGCACCAATTTCATGAGCAACGGTAGAGGATAAACCACAACTGAGTTTTAAGAGAATAGGCACTTTTCTTACACGAGATGTCGTTTATTACATTGACTAGTTAGGTATAATTACAAAGGATATCAGGGGCCAAAGATGACAAGTCTGTGGCTATTGGGACCTCGTTACAGACTCCTTCAGCTCTACCCAAATACTGTGTGACGTCAGATTGGATGGAACGAAGACCTTGCTGTTATTTGTGGGATCTAGCTGCATAAATCAATTCAGCTCTGAGAAAAACAAATGTTTTGAACATCTGCCTCTCAGATTTTCCAGCTTAATGAGTAGTTCCTTCTGACCTCATCACTTTGCACAACCTACTGTATGTATTGATGCTCCTAACCTTAACTAGCTAAAACAAACCCATCTATCCTGCAATTCTTCAGTGATCTGAACTTTAGGCACAAAGCATATCTTTTATATCTGTATATACATAGCTTAAGGTTGCGTTGCTGACTTTGCAAGTTAAAGAGTGGAAAATCAAATTTTGTCGTGGCAAGCAGCAAAATGAATTTCAATATATGGTGGTAAATTACAGCTCAGCATCAGGAAGTATGACAATTAGAGTTTCTGAATTCTTGCAAAAACCCACTGGTTTACTCATTTACTGAGAAAGGAAACCAATCATCACTAAGCTGGTATGCTTGATTTGCATGTGACTCTTGCTCACATTTATATTTCCTTTATGAGAAAGGAAAGAGGAAAGATTTGAACTGTAAAGAGAATCATCAAATTCAATCAGCAATTAAGGTGTTAAATTTGATGCAGACCCCAAGCAGTGTGTGACATTGAAGTTTTCCCAGGTACAAGCTTTCAGACAGCACTGCGAAGAGAGGGAAGTGTGGAATGGCCTTACCAGCCTTGTACTTGTGAGGTTGTTTATGCCAAACCAAATCACATAAAAACAGTGTTATTACAATTCATTCAGAATTCTTTTTTCTACAAGACTTAACAATAAACAATTACAAGCTGTTTTAGTAGACTGCAAGGACAAAGTAGAATGAAATGTGAATAACACACACAGTTAAGAGTAGTATTTTTGGATGACCCCTGGGAGTTGTCCTTGCCTCGAGACCTCCTCTTTGACTGAGACAAAGATACTCCATCCTATGAATAAATTATCCTGGGAGTATAATCTTCTTCACATATTTACTCGAGTATTAAATTGTTTCTTAAAGTGAATTTAAGATTGTATGTAAATTTAAAGTAGAATTGTCATAACTATCTTGAATTACCAGGTACTCAATGATACAGTACTAATTACTACAATATAATCTGAGCTTGATACGTGTAGTAAATATTCATAAGTATTAAAAAGTTTATTGTCTCATACTCAATTTCTCACAATGCCACAAACAGAAAGCAATATCTTAGAATCCTAACTTAAGAATTCTATATGCTGATATTGATTATTGTAGACAAGTTGTTCGTTAAAACATACCTGGAAATTTTTCTATTTTTATAGCCCCCAGTCTATAACTCATAACACTGACTAAATTCTCTCTTATTTGAGGACTTATGCTGACAATAAATTTGACTGGAAAGGTTTACCGTGCTGTTGCAGCATGGGCGTTTGGCGGGGGGTGGTGGGTAGCATGGGGGATGAAATTACCAGAACCATTGACATCCTGGGAATCTCATCATTTAAATGTTTTGGGCATATCAAAAATAATAAAAAAGCATTTGGCTAGGTAAATGGAAACTATAAAGAAACAAATAAAAATACGGTTCAAAATTAGCCATTATAGATTACCACAGATTTCAATCAAAGATTCCTTAAACCCACTTCCAGACCAACACACGATAGAAATCTTTGTGCTTATTTTATATGAAGGGAATAGGTTACTGTGGTCTAAACAGCGGAGAAATTGCCTGGATGACTAACTAATACAATTGGCGTCTAAATTAAACAGAATTGACAACAAAATGGCAGGCATTTCTGGCACCAGAATTTGACCTGAAAGCTGGATGTCAAACTGAATGGACAGAAACACCGTTATCTTGTTTCTTTTGTCAATAATCTCTACACCCATCAATTACGCCATCACACTAAAAAATCCACACTAAGGTCTCCTTTTCTCAGGACAAACTTCTTCATTAAGAAGTTGCAGCGGCATATGATCAAATTGCTTTCTGTTAAAGAGAGGGAAGACGTGAAAGGTAAATTGCTTCCAATTCCTATGCGGGAACCTTGACTCAGAATGTGTAGCAAAAGCTGAACTTATGCATGGGTTCTCATAGCCATCCTCTGCAACTTCGCTAAAAGTGTCATACACATCCAGGAATAACACTGTAAATGCTCTGCAGCTAGAATGTAATGGTCACACTGATAGGACATTCCACTAGCTGGCACTGGCAACCTTGCTACATTATTCCTTACCCCAACGTAATTTCAACGAAATTTATCTGGTGCCCAGTTTCTGAGCAACTCTAGGTTGCTAGCTCTTCAATATCAACAAAGCCTATGGGAATGATGGCCACTGCTGGTACTGCAGGTGGCCCAGGCTGAACACCTTTGTTGGAATCCTGGAGAAAAGATAGGTGAGGCAGGTTCGCCAAGATACATCAGAGAGCACACAGTACCCAGCCTCACATAAGGAACATGGCCATTTGCCAAGTGATATAGTTCAGAGTGGTAAATTGTAGCCCGCATAAAATTTTGACAAACATGGAGCTAAAAATAGATTTGGAAAGATTCAGAAAAGCATAATTTTCCTTTGTACAATAAAGAACCACTCTCTATGAACTTTAAATTGTTAAGTTGACTGATTTTAATTAAAATAAAATTCTTAAAATATACAATACTTGAATATTTCAAAGTAGCAATGTAAAAAAGTTAAATTGAAATACCTTCAGTAAAGATCAGGCTGTTTACCATAAATTATGTTCATATGTATTCAATGAATCAATCAGGCCAAATTCTGTAAATCTCGTTGATTTCATTTTATAAGTAGATATACATTCTAACAAAGCTGTAAAATGTTTTTCTTCTAACATATTTGTATACAAATAAAATTTACAACACAAGAACAATTACATCAATGTTACAACATCAGCTCAGCAATATTTTAAACAGTTTATTTTCTGCATCCTTTATATTGCGCATTGAGAAATGACATACATTTGGAAAATCCGTAATAAAATTGCAATGCAACTCTATTTTTATGTAATATATCGCAAAAAAAATCATATTGAAATATCAAAAATGTTTTAAAACTATTGAGTCTTCATTGATATTGCAAATATTGGGCATCTAGTTAACTACTTTTGGGACAATGAATCATTCATCTTACAATAGGAATTGTGAAGTTTGCAAAAGATTATAGATAATTTATTTTACAATTTAATTAATGATCCTTAGTAAGATGAACTCATACAGTATCTTGGTTGGAATATTAGTGAGGAAGATTATTAAAAGTGATGTAAATATTATGCACATTTCTAATTGCTGCTTTGAAACCATATAATATACACTGTACTTATGTGGACTTGACACTGCAAAACTTCCATCTATTCATGGAGCTGATACTTTGCTAATCCGCAAGTGGACATGGTTCAAACTGCTACCAACAATCACATATATTTGACTGCTTTCACGGTATGCACGGATACAGTGGTAGTGTGCCCACCTCTGGGCCACAGAGCACAGGTTCAAGTCTCATGTGCTCCAGAGGTGTATAATAAAATCTCTGAACAAGTTGATTAGAAAGTATTTACAAATTAGTACAGAATGTGAATGCCAAGAGTCCTTTTGTGCTGCTGAGACATCAAATAGAATGCAATGGAATTTGCACTGAAATAGTTAAAACAAAATACGCATAAAATCAAAAATATCTGTATGCACCTAGCAAGAGTCAAATATTACTTACTATTAAAAATTTATGTTTAAATATTTGTAAAACAAAGACTTGTTAAATGTATTTAGTCTTATTTTACGACATTCTCAAGCTGATAGCTGTGAGGTACAGAGATGCGTAAGGAGTCATAAAGAACAAGACCAATATATACCAGCAGTTACAAATCAGTTGCATTATCAATAAAGGTTGGAAAGCAAACAAAATATAGACAGTACTGTCTTAGGAAAGTTATCGTAAAAGTATGGAAATTAGTCTAAGAGACAGTACCGGAGCATCACTAACTGTAGAAATAAACAATATCAAAGTAGGAAACACCTAACAAATCACCCTGATTTACTTGTGAATGCTCCAGAAAAAACTGATGGTGGATCTTCCAATGGTAGTGCTTGTTTATTTGAGATTTCAGAATATCTGCAAATTCCACGGAAAAGGGATTAGACTAAATCTACAATAGAGCTATGGTAAAACTAGGATAAGAAGCTGGTTTAAAAATAAAAGACTGCTTATGGCTGAGGCCTTGCAACTTCTAACTGGAAATGGTCATTTAGTGGTCCTGAAGTTTCAGGATTTTACGCCTCATTTGTTTGGGCCTTTTAAATTCCAGCAGTGGCAGGGCAGAGTAGTGATGTGCCGGTGTTAACAGTAGAAGTATAGACAGAATGACATTTGATATCGAGAAATATGAAGGAGTACACACTGATTGAGTGAAAGTGTTTTTTAAGTACATCACGTACACGTTTGCACGATGTTCCTAAACTGGTTAGTAAAATCCAACTGTTTAGAACACGGAGCTAACAACTTCCACACACTAATGTCTTAGGGTTCAAAACTGTACTCCAAACAGTATGAATTACAAGCAAGTGGCAGTTCTCTCCTCAGAGGTTCTCACACTGGTGTGAAGTTAGATCAGGATGCCAGACATACAGCGAACATTTGGCATTGAAACTAGGCAAAACTGCCGTATAAATGCATATGTTGCAAAAGATTCTACAATGGTACTAGTCCTTATTGCTTTTGAAGATGAAATAACATACAAATAAAATGCTAAAATAATACCAAGTCATTTGACAAAACAACACAGTACACAGATATAGGAATTATCCTAGGGCTTTGTAACGTACAGTCTCGGATCATACTTCATAGTTAATTCTGTTCATGCCACAAAATGTGTTTATAAAATATACACAAACAGACAGGTGGGTCCACAAACAGGTACATAGAGGACAGGATGCAAAAGTCAACAGCATGCCTGACTTCCAGGAGTAGAAGGGAAAGACCTACAAAACAAAATTTAATGCAAAACTCTGGGAAAAAAAGGTTCAGGAAGAACGTCACAGAAGTATGTAAAATATTCAATGGTATAAGTAAGGCATACCCAGAATACGATTTTATACTATAAGGACTTTGAAATTAAATTACCTAAAACGAACTTAATCAAATAAGAGTCGTACCAAAAGATTCACAAATGCATGGAATAATCAACCAGGCAAGTAAGTAAGAACAAAATCATTCAGGGTATTCAAGATGCAACTGGATGCTATGGAAGTGTAAAGGTATAGAGGGCTACGCTCAATGGCCAAATTTATTTTCACAGGCTTGACTCTTTATTTGCCCAGGGAGTTTTTTTCTTAAGTAGTATTCGGATCTTCATGGCAATTTGCTACAAAGCCCACATTTCTTATTAAAAAATTATAATAAAAATGTGCTGGATTTTTTTAGGTCTTTAAACCTGTGTGTCTTGTTATTTCAAGTGAATTTGCTGGGAGTTAAAAGCATTTTCTGTAAATGTCGATATACATTAACTGCAATACTGAATAAATTAGGTTTTTGGTAGTTACAAAATATGTATCCTATGCAGTCACACCATCATTTTAAACAAAATGGTGAAAATCCTTTCATAACTCAATTCTGAAAATTATGCTCAAATGTGTGGTCCAACCTCTTGCATCTCTGCAGTGGACAGTGGCTGCCTTGTATTTCTCAGCATACGGTAATGCAGTCAGTCCGTGAAGTCTTTTACTGTGTTACCGAGATGGTTGCTGTCAAAACTAAGTTCCTGAGAAAGAATGGGCCTGTGTGAACGAAGCAAGATTGCCAAATGTACTAATATGGGGATGTGACGGGATCACTGAACTGCACACATTGAACTTCTGGGAGGGTTCACAGTTCTCACCACAGGCTCCTGGCTGTAATTCACAATATCTGCCTTCACTACATGCTGTTATAAAAGAAAAAAGGAGAGATATTATGGATTGTTCAACAAATTAAACATAAAATATGTCAAAATAGATTTATTAGAGATGATCAGTATGCTAATACGAGACCAGTAAAATTTTCAATTGCAAGAACATAAATAATGTATCATTGCATTGCTGAGCACAGTAAGGCAATAAACGTAGAATTAGCTTAGTACTCCACAAAAATAGACGTACAACACTTAATAAACTGTCTTTTACTCTGCGTGAGTTAAGTTTCAGTAAACAAAAGACTGGAGAGAATGTACTACAATGTGTCAACTACACGTTATGGATTTTTATCTCTTTATAAAGTTGCTAGGTGAATGTAAAAGTAATATAGAATGGGGTAAATATACATAAAATTATCATCTTATGTTAAAATAACTCTGTATAAATGAACCACATTTTTGTCCTTCATTTGATGAAATTTTTTCAAAGAGAAACTAACTGGTTCAAGTTTCTGCTGTAGTACCTGAATTATTGCATCGTGCACACTTTACTCCGGAATTGTGCAGAGCCCTGTGATAGTTTCGCATCATGTGGGTAATTTACCAACTCAGCCCTGACAATACGCTGTCAACAAAAAGATTCCAGAAACGCAAACAAGTGAGGGAGCAGAGAAAAAAAATGAAAAGAACAAATGAAGACAGAATTGAAATGTTTCACAGGTATAGGTAACAACTAAACCGATCATCAAATACAGCAAAATAAAACAGTGAAGCACAGATTTCTCACGTGATTTTAATACCACCAGTAATGCATTTACTTTAAATGGATTACCAATAATGTTAAGGTAATGATGATCAATAAATTCAAACTGAAATGTATGGCTACAATGAAGGAAATATACAGGGCAGAATAGGAAATTAATTAACCCATACAGAACAACTTTCCTTTGCAGAATAAAGAACTAATTTAATCTGAAATTTAATAACATAAAGTTATGTTGCATAACATATAACTTAAAGTATTACATAACCATGCACTTTATCTTTATAAAAAAATATGAAGAGCACGTTAAATACTGTTTGAACAGTAAAAGCACTGCAAATAATGCAATTCTTTAATATAACTGTATTTTACTGGGCTAACAAAAAGCAACATATTGCAGGTTTGCACATGGAGTTAAATCCCCCAAAACGTGATGTTGGGTTGGGACCCACCACTTCTTGGGGATGCGTTGTATCTACCTAACATACTCAGCTTTGGCTGTACTTTCCTGCTCCAGGTTTCATCATTGCATTGGAACAGCTCACACAGCTCTATCTTTCACCTTTGATAAGGGACAAGCGGAAAAGCAACACCATCACCAAAACTACCACAAAAAGCAACACCACCACCAGCAGTACCAGCTGGCTTTTCCTCAGCCACATGTCTCTCCACTGGACAGAACTGACACTGATAACAGGCTGAATGGAAGTGAGACCCCAAAACATAGTCCCCCAGATAGACATTCCTGAGCACCAGCAAATCAAAAGGCTCTGGTTCTCACCACAGGTCACTATTGACATCCATAAACTCCTGGAATAAGACTCTTTCCAAGTGGAATAGAAGTACACACATTGCTAGTGGTCAGTAAGGTGGCCATCACCAGAGGGCCACTCCATACTACACTATCAACACATTGCATTCTCTCTTGTCCTACAAGGAAGGAAAGTAGAGAGATGCAAGTACTCATAATGGCTTGTCTTGTCAACATCAATCATTCCCTCAGAGTAGTTCATGAACTAAGAATTTGTATCAGCTCACATAATCTCCTTTTAATTTGAGAATTTCCACTTAAAAATTATCTTTAAGACTTCCTTGGTGATTAAGCTTACTTTATAGTAAAACTACAGCACAAAAGAAAACACTAACATTGATATAGTTATTACGTAAAAATTCACAAAGATGAAAGTAGGTAAGGATAAAAGATACTTGTAAAGATGAAAGCCTCTTAGATTGCTTCAATCTTGAAGATTCTCCTCCCCAAATGAAGTAATTGAAACTTGAAGTCAGTTTCAGCAACCGTGATGGCTTCTGACTTTGCCTGTAGAAGTGGACTTAGGTCAGGAGGATTCTGGAGAGCGAGAGAAAGTTCCTTGTTCCTCACTGGTTCTATTGTTACAGTACTTGCAGATTACCTGGAGCAATTCGGCGAAACAGCAGTTGATTTCTATATGCCTTCTTCCTTGTGCTCCCTTTGGCTGAGAACTGTCTCTGATGTATTTTAGTGTTCTTCCTAGGGTTCTGCATAAGTTGGCTTTTGCTTTCTCTTTATCACACGAAGTAAAACAGATACTAACTGAACCATTGTTTCATGAGACAAACAGGTTAATTATATTGAAGTCCTTTTCTGTCTCCTGTTTTCCCACAGGCTGCATTTGTGGCCAATGCCACTGCTAGATTGAGTATCATGAGCGCATGAAAATGACACCGAAAAATGTTATTCACCTTTCCTGTCCCACCACCCCCTCCACCTACCCAAGATAGCGATACTTTTCATGCAGCGTCTTGAATTTGTAGGAGTCATGCATCAACTACTGACCTCCTCTGCTATTTCTATTTAGCCTGCTTGGATGGAGAGGTTCTTTTCCTCCCTCCCTTAGGAACATAGGAAAGGAACAGGAGTAGGCCTTTCAACACAGTGAGCCTACTCTGCCATTTATTACAATCATGGCTGATCAAACATTTCAATACCATTTACCCACATTATCCCATAACTGTTCACGTCACTGACAATTTAATATCTATCAACTTCTACTTTAAATATACTCAAAGACTGAGCTTCCACCACTTCTGCAGTAGAGAATTCAAAAGATTCACTATGCTGAGTAAAATAATTTCTCTTAAACTTGGTCCTAAATGGCATTCCCCCTTATTTTTAAATTGGGTCCCCTGGTTCCAGACTGCCCAGCCAGGAGAAATATCTTACCTGCATCTATCTTGTTTATCCCTTTAAGTATTTTATAAGTTTCAATGAGATCATCTCTCAATTTTTCAAACATCTAAAGGTCGAGTTTGCCCAATCTCTGTGGAGGAAAATGAAACTGGGAAGGAGGAAGCTCTTTTTGTGCATGACAAAGCTTAACATCAGGCACTACAGGCCAAACAGAAGCTGACTGACACCTGATTCCAGTGGATGAGAACTGGGTGCAGCAGACCATCATGGAATGTTAAACAGCTGTTAGTCACAATGTGAGATTGTGAAGGAATGGTTTTGGTTTTGTTTATATTCCATTTTTCTGGCTGTCAATAGAAGTTAATGTTTGAAATTGTACGATTATCCGCCTGTATGTGATGTTCCCCTCCTGGACAAGATGCAATCTACATTGGGCGCTGGAGACACAGTAGCGCCGACATCAGCGGGGTATTAAGACTTAGGGATGTGATGTAGCTAAGAACAGGTAAACTGTGCTGTGGTGGTTTAACAGCAATGAGGGTGAGAGGTTGAGGTTGTGAGGTTATGGTTGATATCAGCTATATGCCATAAATAGCTTGGCTGCTGTGCCATTACAATGTCAGCAGCCTTCCAAAGATGGTTCAGGTACAAGAAATGGTGTACTTCCAGCGGATATCTGCGGAGTAGCAATTTATGGGAACAGTGTGCAGTAAAGTGGGAACAGAATTAGATATGATGGATGCTTAGGGAGGGCAGTTAGTCAATGAGACGAGTTTGGCAAGATACAGTGAGAAATGTGAATGAATCACAGAAAATTAAATTGCTTACAATATGGAACTCAGAAGGCAAATGATACGTTATACACCAATTGTTTTGTAATAAAGGCCAAGAGTGAAGAAATCTTGCTGAAATTGTACAGGACCAGGCCTGGAGTACACATGAACAGATTTGGTCTTCTTGCATACAAATGATATATAAGCATTGGAGAAAATGCACTGAAGGTTCACCAGACAGAATCCAGGGATGAGGATATGTTATTTGAGGTCAGATTGAATAAATTAGGCCTATATTTTCTAGAGTGTAGAAGAATGAAAATTGATCTCATTGAATTGTAAAATTGTTAATGGGTTTGATAAGGTAGATCCTGAGTGGAATCTAGAAATTGGGAGTCACAATCTCAGGATAAGATAGACGCTCTATGACCCATCCTCCCACTCCAAATTCTGCTGCTGATGCCCCACATTATCCATGGATGTCTAGTTTTGAGTTCCTTGATCTTTTCAAAGTCACACCCATTTAGTGTAGTTGTCATGCCAGACAACATGATGGAGGCTATCCTCAATGTGAGAATGAGACATTTTATACAGAAAGAATGTGCAATGGTCACTTCTATCAATGCTATCACGGAGAGATGTATCTGTGACAGGCAGATTGGTGACAACGAGGTCTGGTTGGTTTCCCCTCGTTAGTTCCCTCACTGTTTTCTGCCAATCCAGCCTACAACTTGGTCAGCTTGGTTAGTACTGGTGTTACTGGGTCACTCTTAGCGAAACAGTGAAGGTGATGTAGTCCACCTAGTGTACATTGTGTGCTCTTCCCACCATCAGTGCTTATTTCAAGTAGTGCTCAATATGGAGGAGCATTACTTTGTCATACAAGTGATCTTGGTAATTGGTAACAAACATGAGGTTTCTCTGCCAATGTTTGACTGGTACCATGAAATTTCATGGTCAATTCTGAGGATTCGGAGGACAATGCCCTCCCAAACATACATCACTCTGCAGCTACTCTGGTGAGTCCATCCTGCCTGTGGGATGTTGATGGTGGAGCTTGGGACATCACCATACTCAAGGCATCATACCTTCCAGCCGATGTTAGGCTGTTGATTTACTAGTCTGCAAAATAGTTCTTCCAATTTTAACACGTTTCCAGATATTAATTAAAAGCATTTTACAACTGTTGTTTCCAGAACCTAAGTTGATGTCAAGTGGACAGTCTGGATCATTTCTATGTTTACACCTCATAGCAGTTTGATATAACTGAGGGACTTCCACTACCAGCTATGAATCAACCAGATGTCTGTGAATCTTGAATCACATG